TTTTTAAAAAAAAAAAAAAGTAGTTAAAGATGTTTAAAAAGGGAGATTCTTGGGGTTGGGGATTTAGCTCAGTGGTAGAGAGTGCTTGCCTAGCAAGCACAAGGCCCTGGGTTCGGTCCTCGGTTCCGAAAAAAAAAAAAGAGAGATTCTTGATCAAAAAGCCTATGGCCAGGTTGTCTGAGGTCTCAGGGAGGAACCTACTACTGTAGCTTTTCTAAACAAACAATACTATCAGACTGCCTTCTAAATATTTATGCTCATACACATAGATTAGGGCTGCTTTCAGCCTTAGAGAAGCGTCTTTTTACAGTAGTCAGTAATTAATTCAGAGACTCCTAACTGGTCAAAATGCTGATAGTAAATGACTCATGAGTTTTCCATCTTAAATTGGGTATCTATATCAACCCCCTCTTGCAAGCCTCCAGGGACATCTTAGAAGAGGGGCAGAAAGAATATAAAACAGGAGGATGGGGAGGAGCAGGACACAACATGGCACTGTACTCATGAACTCACTGAAGCCATGCTTACCTACATAACATCAAGTCAACAAGACACAACATTCCAACAGGCAGCACTAATTAGACTCAGTGGATTAACCGAAAAAAGGAGGACACAAAGGGGGGACATGTTGGGAGTGCTTGGGGAGAATGGGAAGAGTTGAGGGTTCCTGGGGGGAATAACAAAGGGAGCTGGGGTGCATATGATCCAGATAAGATGAACTGTTCCAAGTATGAAATGAAATTGCCAAAGAATAAATAAAAGATATTCTAAGAAGAAATAGGTGCCACTGACTCCAAATTCTTTTAAAAAATTCTGGTCTACCAAAATTAGTTCTCTAAAAAAGCACTAAATATACAGAAGAATTTGGGAAACAGATTTCTTTAAACATATCAAATTACACATTAAATATTCCATAATTAGAATATTAAGAACAAGAATAAATAGCAAGCTTACCCACAGTACTAATGCAATTCCAGAGAACTGGTCCTTTTTCTGCTAAGGCTAGGAAAACTTTCACTATCGCTTTGCAGCACACCAACTGCATTTTGGGACTGTATTGTGGGAAGCTGTCTATTTGAGCCACCATGAGATGCTCCAGAACTGGAGTGTATACCTCAGGAACCTATCAGAAATGAAGAAAAATCTCAACATTAGAGCAGCAAATAAACATAAGAATTATGTACATACTCAAAATTATTATAACTGAACTAGTAAAAGGTAAATGAAAAATGGGCTTGTTATCTGATCTACCAAACTAAGCAATTATTATTGTGACAGTCAAAATAAAGCACAGTAAAACTGTAAATGATACTTACTATACAATTGTATCCCAAGTGGCAATCTTAATCTTTTAGGAGACAGAAAAAGAAACACCTATTTTTTCCTGCTTTAGACTCCAACTTCTTAAACTGTGGGCTACAATCTGATAAAGGGTGTATAACTAACTAGAGAGAGCCAAAGAAATATCAGAGGCAGGTGGATCTCTGTAAGATCAAGACCAGCCTGGTCTACATATCAAGTTCCAGGCCAGCTGGGGCTACAGGGAGACCCTGTCTCAAAAAGACCAAAAAAAAAAGAAAGAAAATCAGCAATCAATTCTGAAAAATGTTGAAGATGCTCTACATATTGTAGCCTCAAACATACAGATTTAACTCTTCATGTAAAAATAAGCAAGCAATTCCATCTCAGTGTATAGATTCACTTTACTAAATCATAAACCTATACATAAACCAAAAGAATTGTTTTAAGATAAATTTAGGGAGAAATGGTTCAATGGTTAAGAGCACTGGCTGCTCTTGCAGAGGGCCTGGATTCAGTTCCCAGCACCACTCACATGGCAGCTAAGAGCCATCTGTAACTCAATGGCCATTGTATGCCTGGGCGTACTTACAAACATGCCAGAAAAACACTCATGCACATAAAAATCAATCAAAAAATTTTTTAATAAATTTAGTTATGACATATTATCAGGAAATGTGTACAGTTATTTAATATACATATATACCTAGGTTGTATAAAAATTAAGAGTGAAAAAAGTTTAGGCAGCCTTGCTCTCCAAACAATTAAAATTTCATGACACGAATTCTATTGATACCAAAATATTAAACAAAATCTCATGTCAATCACAGGGATACCTAATACTAAACATATCACCATCAACTTCCTTGTGGAGATGAGATTAACTACTCAGTGACTGTAACCACTTCACTTACTGTGTCAAGGTAAAGCAAGACACTTGCAATAGACTGGAGGAAACTTGGCACCTGGTAGACGTGATCATCAACAGTGTCTGTCTGGGTGAGGAACATCTCTTTGCAGCGCTGAATGAGCTCAACATACATGAAGTCAACATCTTTTGCATTTATAACCTTGCAAGGCTTTAGGAAAGGCAAAACAGAAGTCTTATCAGTGTCAAAGCAAAGACATGTTAAGCCATGTGATTGTAAACTGCTGAATATTAGCATGCTATTTACTTGCTTATTTTACTGTACATAAAATACAGTATCTTACAAAAATGCTTTTCACCATAATTTATAGTCATATCCTAATATTTACTCCTACACAGGACATTTTTTATCGTTAACCATGTTCTGGGACTGATTAAAGGGTGGGTCTCACCTATTCGCTGGCCCTATGAGACTAGCCACTCCAGCAAAGACTGAAGTGGATAGACTATTCTAGCATGTGGTTAGAATACACTGGTGTATCATGCTCATACACTGCAGCAAAAAGAAACAAATAGAAATGAAGACTAAGGAGGAGAGGAGGGATGGAGGGAAGAGAGAGAGGAGATGGAGAGAGAGAGATACGTAGTTGAAAAGAACAGTCATTCATGTCTCCTTCAGCACCAAACAGCGATATATAAGGTCAGCTGTACTGTCAGCTGTACTTCTAAAAGCAAATGTCACAGAAGTATCACCAGGGAATTTAGACTTCATATTTAAAAAGAAACCAGAATGAAGAGTGAAATATCAAACAAATACTAAGAAAATGGCATGGATGAACTCAGTGCAACTGTATGTGAGCACTGTGTCAGAAATAGAAGTCAGGTTGACATGGGCATCTTCACAAAACTCAGGAGGCTGAGGCAGGGGATTGCAAGGAATTTCAGGTTAATCTATTCTGTTTGCTTCTGGAAGTCTTGCTATTCTCAGAACACTTCTTTATTTATTATTTCTATTTTACGTGTATGAGTGTATTGGCCATGTAAGTGCATTCATGATGTGCAATGCCTGCAGAGGTCAGAAGAGAGCATCAGTTCCCCCTCAAACTGGAGTTACAGACAGCTGTTAACCACCAACCAGGTGCTAGGAACTGAACCCCGCCAGACTGAGCCATCTCTCCACTCGCGCAGAACACCTCTTGATTGTTAAGTATTTTCTAAATGTTGTTTAGATGGCCCAGGCTGACCTATAACTCTATGTAGCCCAAGGTGACCTCGAACTCTTAATTTTTCTGCCTCAGTTTCCTATGCTAGAATTATAGGCTTGTAGCATCAGGTCTAGCTAAGATTTATATCTTGTTTCTATCAATTCAGTGTATCAGTCTATCAGTGAGTTATAAGGATTTAAACAGTGCATATAGTCTAGTACATAATAGACACTAGCGGACACTGGAAACTGACAGCAGTACTGCTGTCACAAACCTAGCATGCTCCTCAAAAATGCCAAGTTCATTCCTTTACATAACCAAGTTAAACCGAAATGCAGTAAGTTAATGCGCTATACCCCCGCGAACAGTCCATATCCACGAATAGCAATAGATAACTCCTTGTTGTTCGAATCCACGCTTCTGATGATACCATAGAACTGCTCCATGATGACTGCAGCATACTCTTATGCAATTCTGCATCTTTCACCACCGTAAACGAAATCTGCAATTGTATGAAATTTACTCTTTAGAAATATTTAATTGCAAAATGAAAGGATTTAAACAAATACTAAAAAGGCAGAATTGTTTAGATACTATTAACATGTCATTACAGTTACATTCAATTGCTTTTAGTCACAAAAATCCTTTACAACAATGTGCTTAGTTAACATCAAGTTCTGAAACACAGTTTCTTAAACAAAGGTATAAGGATTAAAAGAGAAAGGCAGGGAAAGGCAGGAAGATATCAGAAAAACAAAGCATTTTGGGTTTTTTAATTTATCTATTCATTTATTTTTTCTATGTATGAGTGTTTGGCCTGCATGTATATAGTGCACCATGTGCTTGCCTGGTGTCTGTGGAGGCCAAAATAGGCTACCAGATCCCCTAGAACTGGAACTACAGCCAGCTGTGAGCCATAATGTGGGTGCTGGAAACCTAACCTAGGTCTTCTGCAAGAGCAGAAAGTAGTAACCATACAGCCACCTCTTCAGCCCCTTTTTTCAAAGTTCTAAAATTACATTTATTTATTTAAATGGGGGGGGGATTTACATGCTACAGTACATGTGTGGAGACAAGAGGATGACTTGCGGGAGTCAGTTTTTTCCTTCTGCTATGTGGGTTCTGGGGATGATATTCAGGTCATCAGGCTTGACAGCAAGTGCTTTTAGCCACTAAATCATCAGATATTTTCAAAACTCAGCTATGAAGGGCTGGAGAGATGGCTCAGCGGTTAAGAGCACTGACTGTTCTTGCAGAGGACCCGGGTTCTATTCCCAGCACCCACAAGGCAGCTAACAACTGTCCATAACTCCAGTTACAGGGAATCCAATGCCTTCTTCTAAACTCTGCAGGTATTACACTACAGAGAAGTACTTACATACATGCATGCAATCCCCTCATATGCATAAAAGAAAATAAAAATAA